ACTAAAAAATGGTATTTTTTATTTTTTGGCCCCCTCCCCTGGTTTTGAGGTAAAAACATAGATAAAAGTGGGTTTATTTATATATATATAATAATTATTTGTTTCGAGAATCAGTAGAATGTTATAATAAATTAGTTTTATTAGAAAAATATGATAGGTAGCTAAATATCATAACATAGTATTCCTCTATAAAATAAATTTATTCGATATAAAATATAATTAATATCTTATTAATTAATTAAACAAATTATACTAATTATATCAATCAAATGTTATCAAGTATAACAAAATTATTAATATATTTGAGATAATTGATTATAAATTATGGAATATAAAAACTCCTTTAAAATGCACACCGAATTTATAGCAATGTAACCAGGACAACATAGTGAATATTTATGGCATTTTCTAACGTCTGAAATCTTTGCGTCATAACTTTTATATTATATTATGAATATTATACATTAATATTTAAATAAAATATAATATAATATAATTAAAAAATTATATATTTATTTATAACTCATAAATAATGATATATAGCATTTATAAATTGGCAACAGGGGGTGATTGCGAGAGGGAATAAACCCCTGATTCGCTAATTTATTTTTTATCTTTACCCCCCCCCCCTCCCATCTTTTTCAAAATTTTGAGGAGGGGCTGAGCTGAGCCCCCCGCCCCTCCTAAATTTTTTTATATAATCAAATGTTCAATTTGAATCACCTTTTTCCTTTTCTTGTTATAAAATGTAATTTTTATTTAGTCAAAAATCTTTTTCATATTTTTTTTTATATCCACATAAAAGGAAAGAAGCAAAAAAATAATATTTATCAATATTTTTATTTTCTTTCTTTTTATATAAATTTTTATGCTTTATTTAAAGCATAGAGTGAGATTAAGTAAAGTACCAACAAGTAGTGATGATAAATAGTTCCATTTTTAGCAAGTTTTGAGCATACTCTAAAAAAATATAAACTGAATTTTTAAGCGAAAACTATCAGCTTAGCCTCGATCGAGATTTAAACTTAAAGGATAGATATATCTTAAAAATATCTTGCCTCCGGGTTGAATTTTTTCGAATGTTAGTTTCGCTTAATTAACAAGACTAACAAGAAATTATCCAATTTAAGTAAAATCTTAAGTTTACATTAGAATTTAAAATTTTCAAATAGTTAATTTGTTAGTTGTTAGGATAAATCTATTTACTTCGAAACTGATTGGCGATATTTTAAAAAAAATTATTAGAAGATTATTGTTGACAACAATAAAATATTATGTAGGAACCGTCTAAACGACAGTAAATTTATTGAAGGCAATTATCGGCAATATAAGATTTGCAATCTAATTTTTAAATAGTTTAATATTTTACTCCCTCGACAAATATTGCAGATAGAAATCCTGAAACTCCAAAATCTATTCCTACTCCTCTAAAAAAAATTGCGGCCTTGGCCGAGATATTTACTCACATGATAATAATTTTAAAAAACTTATAATGAGCCATCAATTATAACCTTAAAACAATTCTCATTAAACTCTTACAGCCCTCATGATTATTTAGACCAGTTATACCAAATAATCAATTAGTTATTGATATTTAATTAGTTGTTACTAATCTAAATATTGTCATTCGCGTGTATAACTTCCAACTGTACTAAGATATAATCTGAATGAGGAATAAATATTTATTAAATTTAAATATTTGAATTAGATATTTAACTTTAATATACAAATAGTGTTTATTTTTACTCTACCCTACCCTACCCTCTTTCAGAGAAATTGAAGGCAAATATTTTATTTTATGATTGATCATGGCAGATAAACAAACGATTAAAAGTATATAATTTGTCGAATTTAATGTTCATTTATATTAATGGACCTTCGATGTCGGAATGTATACAGATCCATCCATCAAAATAAGGGATAAAATCTTTTTAAACAGCTCAAAGAAATCAAAGCATATTTTTATATATCCTAATTTGTATAGATATCGATGGTATTAAATTTGTTACATTAATTTATAAAATCGTTTTATTTAAGATATTTTTGAATAATACTAATACGAATAATTTGATCTAATATTGAAAAAATATTTTTCGACGATTAAATTTCCTTTATAATTTAATTCGAATTTTCGAATAGGATAATTTTATTCATATTCTTAAAAATCGAATAAAAGCGAATAGAATAATGTAACATAAATATAGGAAATAATTTGTAAGTATTCAATATATTTTTATGTATTATTTTTTAATCATTTTTTTAAATTTAATAATTCCTTTTTTTAATTTTGAAAATATTTTAAAAAATTTAATGTTCGAATTGAATATTCGACGAATCAAATAATGGATTTATTATTTATATTTATGAATACGTAAAACATATTTATTCGCTTCGTATTTTTGTAGGTCTAATTATCATAGTTTGGGTAGAAAGTATTTCAAAAAATAACGACTGAGAATGGAGCTCCCAACACATAAGAAAATTTGAATAATGACTTTATATTACAACAATATATCTTAATATTAGTAGTGTCGCTAAAGTTACTTTTAAAAGTTATTAGTTACATTGCCCAAAACGTAACTAGTTACATAGCATGTACCTTGCTTGAAATGTAAATAGATACCATTTCTTAAATTGAATAGTTACACTATACACATAATTATTTCAAACTATTATGTTTATTATATTAACTTACTTTATGCATTAAAAGTAACTTCTTCAAGAAAAAAAATAATCATATTAGTATTATATACCAATTATTTATCATATATGAGACAAATCAAAATATATGTATTATATTATATTTTTACATTTAGTATTATATTTTCATTTCATTTCATTTTAATTAAAATTATTATTTATTATAAAATATGATTTTTTTATTACAATTATTTTGTCTTTTATTATAGAATATTATTTTTTACTACAAAATATTATTTTATTTTTTATTATAAAATAATATTTTCTACTGCAAAATATTATTTTTTACTATAATATTAAAAAATTTATTACTATATATATATATCAGAGACCTGCAGGCCCTGCCCCCGGGTACCCGGACCAGGCTGTATTTTAATTATTTTAAATATACCCGGGCTGGGCCGTATATTTTAAAACCAAATATTTGAAATCGCCATTATTAGCTGTAAAAATCAAAAATAAATAAAATATATTTTAAAAAAATCCGGGCCGGGCCGTACAAATAGTACCTCTGCAGGTCTCTGGTATATATATCAAAGACCTGCAGGCCCAACCCTAAACGTACATGGGCCGTGCCGTATTTTAATTTTTTTTAAATTATCCGGGCCGGGCCGTATATTTTAAATTGCTATTATTAGATATAAAAATTAATAAATATATAATATATTTTTAAAAAATCCATGCCTGGCCTAAAAAATTTTTTTACAAAAAATTCGTAAATATTAAACCCAGACCGGGTTGTGCAAATGGTACCTTTACAGGTTTTAGATATATATTAAGTGTTTATCCAGTATAGTTGTATAATAGCAAAATGTCGGCTAATTCTGCTCAATCAGCAGGCACATTTTGAAGAAAATCTGTTAAGGAATGAGGTGGGGATAATTTACTTTTGCTTTCTTTAGAGTTAAGCTATTTTTACAAGAAAACTCAGAGGCTAAGGTGAAAATTTTTTCTGCAAAAAAATAGGTTAAGCCGGCTACGGTTTAAACGGCTAAAAATTAATCAAATCATACCCCTATATGGTAATTTAATTTATAAATAATAAAGAAAACTTAAATCTAAAATAAATTAAATTTGCAAAGATACTTATAAAATGAAACAATATTTATAGATAAAATAGCAATTTTCAATATGATTAGGGGGAATTTTCAAAAGTTAAGAATTAATAAAAATAATCTAACACTTATTTAAATATAATAGAATAAAAAATGTTAAAAATAACAGCCAAAACTTACCTCTTTTTACAAAATGTTGTTCTAAAAAGGTAACTAGTTACATTATCAACAATACATATTAGTATCAATAATATTAACCTTTAAATTTACTCGCACCTTCTCTGTAGGCAGCGTCTACATGATAGTGCGGGAGGTAGGAACTACTTGTTTCCAATTTTTTCAGAAGGTGGGGGTAGGCATTCAAAGGGAGGTAGGGTTAAGTAAGCACTATTCGTAGATTTTAATATTTAATTACTTTTAAACTATATTTTTTATTTTAAAATGATAGCTGAAGATTATTTTTCATTTAATATCCCCAAAAAAGTAGTAAAATACTAGGTGTAGGTATAATTAATAATTTTACCTAAAAATAATTATAATCAGCTGAATAATTTTAAAATATTTTACCCTTATTTATAAGCCTGAAGTATTTCTAACGATCTATAAAATGGTATTGAAATGGAAATAGGTGAAGTGAATGTGTGATATATTATTCTGAAATAACAATTTTTAAATATATTTAATTTTACTTATTAATTCTATATATATATAATAGTTGCGATTTAAAATATTCGATTCTCTATGTCCACCCTGGTATTTGGAAAAATATACGACCCAGCCTATGTACCCAGTTTGGGCGTATGACCGTACCGGGCCTGCAGGAATTGTAATTTAGGCCAAATTTAAAAAAGACTGTTTTTTTAAAAAAATATATTAAATAAATATTAAATATAAATAATTAGTCAATGCATTTTATTTAATGATTATTTTTCGTAATAAAATGAAAATTAAATTAATTTAAAAAACATATATATTAATAATGTTTAAAAAAAAATTTACTCGGGTGGGGCTTAATACGACCATGTCCTTCACAATGAATTTATGTTAAAAAAATACCAAAATAGGAAAAATTTAAAATATGTGTATTTTCAACTATTCTAAAATAAATTTAATGAAGTTACTGAAGATTCTATATTGTAATAATTAACCGCTATTATTCAATACCAATTTTATCACACATGGGGCTTCATACACCCCACCAGAGTATTTTAGAAATAATTTATAAAAATTAGTAATAATAAATTCTTACATGTTATTAGTAGAGATAAAGCAATCATATTTTGTTGTTATATCACACAAATATGGATTGCAATCTCTATATTCAGTTTCGACGGGACGACAAGGACAATCCCTATAAATAATAATAAAAGTTGTTTAGAAATTTTAATAGATTATAGTTATTCACAATTTAAGATATTATTTTGATAGTTACAAATTAGAAACTATAAAAATTTAGTGTTCTATATGAACTAAAATTGATTAACAACCAAAACTTTTGATCATAGCATAAAAAGAGGCATTTTCTTATCCTTTTTTGTATTCCACATCCTCCACAGGGCTCACTACATGGACTCCAATTGCTCCAGGGTGTAAACATATTGTTTTCTCTCAGTTTTTCTTCATCGCAAGAATTTGGAACTAATTATTATTTTTAATTGAGTTGAACAATTTATAAAAATAAAAGGGTATATTTTAATAAATAATAAAAGCATTTTAAATGATTAGTGTTTAAAGTAACTAGTTACTTGTAATAGTCACATTTTATCAAAAAAATAACTAACTAGTTAATTTGAAAAACTAGTAACTGTAACTAATTTATTTTTGGAATGTAATTGGCAAAAATGACTAGTTACTTTTTAAAATATTTATATATATCTTGATAAATATATTCAAATAATTATTATATTTAAATGTTATAATAATTTATTTTAAATTCAATTTACTAATTTAAATTTTGTTTATGTCTGATTCTATATGTGCACCTTTTTTTATATTTAATATTGAATTGATACTTGATCAACTAATGTATCATACAGATACAGAATATAGATGAATTCTGACTCTGACTTGTCATTTGATGAGGATTGCATTCAAATGATTCAGAATGATGAAACAGAAATTGTACCATCTTCCTTTACAACTATTACCAAAAACAACGGACTTAATGTAAAAATACCTTGGTCAAGTTCGAAAAATATTTTGGATTACAAAGAAAAGGCTGGCAGAACAGACAATATTAGTGTTAAATGTCTCCCAGGCCTTCCAAAAAAAGCATATTTCAACATGTAAGTCATCCACAGCAATCCATAGAAGCGCATCTCTAAGTTTATTTTCACATAATTTGTGTTGTACACTAAGTTTTAGTTAGATATACATGTAACAAATTCATTTTTTGTTTAATATTATATAGAATTTTAATAAACGGACTTTTTATGAATAATTCATATAAATTAAATATTCTTATATGAAAAAGATTTATTTTTAGAGAACACATCCTAACCAATCCTTAAAAATAAAGGAAACTATAGATTATAAAATTCAAAATAAATTAAAACAAACAAAATTAACTTCCTGTGATGATGAAGATTTTATTGAACTAAAAAAATACCCTGAAACCTAATATGAAGAAAATAAGCAAGATCTTTTTAGAGGATGATAATTATAAGAAAGCTTATAAAATTGCCATGTCAAAATGCCAATGGAATTTACTAGAGTTGGTAAAGTGTGATATCGTATCAGTATTTAGATACACTTTTATAAAAATTATATGTATCGATATCTAGATACTATTTTAGTGTATCTGTTTTTAAATTGTTATATATGGAAATATATGAGGTGACGATTAGAAAAAGGACAGTTGAAAAGAAAATTTAAAACGCATTCATTCATTTTACTTAGATATTATTGTAGTTGTAAAAATATGGAATAAAAAGTATTTAGTAAATATTTTGCTATCCAAAATTCAAGATAAAATATAGATACTTTTTAAAATATAGTTTGATATACTTTTATTTAACGCTTTTTTTATCTTAAAATAAAAATATTTGAATGCAAAAGTCATTTTATCTTATAATTTAAATAAATATATAGTAGAGAATATTAAGACTAATATAATAAAAATATATATTATTAATGAAAATTATAAATATCCATTAAATATTATCTTTTTCCCATTTAAATCTATAGATATCAGTTCAAGATTGTGATGATTTTTTTTTATCATGCAAAGAAATATATAAATCCTTGCTTAGTCATGACGCCCATTAATTATTAAAAACAATACCATTGATGCACAAAATCATTTTAAGCAATTTATTTAGAATTTTTTAAAATAGTTTAATAGATATTCAGCAAACTTTTTATAAATAAATTATAAGTTTAATGTAGAATTTTTTTTAATAAATGCTTTAAATGAGAATTTGTTCGAAAGAACGATAAAATAAGGATATTGACATTTATTTATATGGTGTTTGAATTGAATGAGAACAAAATATAAAAATGTTTTTTTAAGTATTTTGTGTTCTCATAATAAGAATTTCTGTTCGAGAACAACAGCGAACCCTGTTTAAGTATGTTAAAAATTATATTTGTGTCTAGATACATTTTTAAAGTTGTATCCATATCTAGATACGTTTTTAGCCTATGTATCTGTATCTAGATTCATTTAAAAGAATCTTTTAATAACTTTGGAATTTAAAAAATAAATCTGGGCCATCATCTGAACTAATTAAAAAGAGATTAAATTCTCAACTACCAAATCCCGTATAACAAGATGGGGTAAAAAAATTTTGATAATGAGCATATAGAAAATTTTATAAAATCCAGTAATAACACATTTTATATGATTTTCCATTTTCAAATTACTTTTTATTAAATATAATGTTGTCATTAAATGAAACTCCCGCAGAACGTTTGATTAGTCTAGGGAAGTGTGCCTATGGGGAGAAATGAGCGGGTCTTTTACAAAATTTATTAAACCCAAATTTTTTATGTAAAAATATATAATATTTATTTCGGTGTAAATATATTCCTTTCTCTGGTATTTTTTTTTCAGTGTAATTATTTTATATTAAATAAAAAAAAAAGATGCGTTATATTACTCCTGAAATATAACTATAACTATACCAATAGTTACATTTAAAAAATTGTAATTGGTAGCTGTTACAAGTTAAAATAAAAAATTGTAACTAATAACTTTAATTAGTTACATTTCAAAAGTAACTTTAGCTAAAACTGATTAACAATAAATTCGGTTTCAATTATATAATTGATTATATATCTAACCTAAAGTCACGGTTGCCTCGAATCCAATTTTAAAAAGGGCTGATTGGTTTTGCAAAAAATTTGGAAATATATCTGATTGGAACGAAATTGCTAAATTTTCCCACTCTGAGTCTAATGTTATTATGTTGGGCATTGTGCCGCAAAATCTGCCAGATTTAATTATATAATAAAACGATTTTTATTGTAGAATATTACCTTAAACCAGTCATTGCTTGATCTTTTTTATATTTAATTTCTAGCCAATGTATGCATTGACCTGTAGTTGCCTTTAGAATGTCGAAATTGGTAGCGTTTATTTCAATTCGCAATTTCCCCATACTATTATTTGAGCATTTGGCCTTATGTAGGTTACAATTTTTTTTTAAATTTATAAATCATAAATTAATTATAAATGTTCCTTAGATAAGATCATAGCAAAGATGTATAAATACGAGATTTTTTTCTTAAGTATATAAACGTGATTTTTTTTACACCTACTTTAAATATCCAATTACAATTATCCCCTTGATAATTTTTATCAGGCCAACCTGGTGAATGGATAGATATTGGATTTGCCTTTTCGTTTATCTCCTGGATACTGATTTCGCTAGAACAAATTTCTTGATTTTATGCAAATATTTAATAGTTTTATTACCAATATAAAAAGAATTTGACCTCAAGACCGACTAGTATATTTTTGAGTAAGTAAAATTTAGAAGCATGATAGAGATAAAGGATGTGAAAAATACAGCTCTCATAGAAAAGAATTAAAAACAAACCTGTATCTTCATGGCTATCCTGACATTTTTGTCCTCCGTAAACAGAAGGACAGATACACGTATCACAATCTGAGGGATTTGGGTAACCAAAATTATTACAATAGGAAATTATTTCTTTGCATGAATCTGAGTAGGGATACGATTATATTACATATAATATATTGTATTAAACTTATCATTAAAAAATAAACATATACACGGGTTTCTTATTCAAAAAGGAAAATTTTAAATTAAAAAAATAAAGTTTGAAATCAAAATTGGTAAACTAATCAAAAAAAAGAAAAAGTTCAATTAAAAAGGAAAAGATTCGATAAAACATGAAAATTCCGGTTAAGAAAAGTTTGAAGCAAAAAATAAAAATATTCATTCAAAAAAAGTAAAAGTTCAATCAAAAAAGGAAAAACTCCATATAGTCGTCACCACTGCAGGAATACGTTTTTTTGGATAAATTGGTTTATCCATAAGCCAGCTATCATCTCTCAAAAAATTGTGTCTCAATAACGAATAAAAATTAGGTTTTTTTCTATCAAATAACATTAAAACGAAGAAAAAACAGTATCAAAACCTCATAACTGACATTTTCTTTAAAAAAAATTGTAAATTTTTTAACAAAACCTCGTACGTAACTGATCAACAAAAACTGATGAGTTACTTGGGGATCGCATATGTGTATATATTTTCTTAAAACATTCCAATTGAAAAAGTATTGTAATTAAAAGTTAAAATTCAATAATAAGTATAATTTTTATAATTATAATAACACTTAAAATAGTTTTTTGACTCTCCCGAACAATTTCAAAAATGCTATTTACTAGGTATTGCAGTGATGAACGTCGATATGTTTATATTCGATCATATTTTAAGGTACAGTCCCATTTAAAAAAGTAAAAGGATAATGATTCTCTTTCGTAGCTTATAGGTTTTCATTATAGATTATATTTCATAAATTTTTTATTTTATTTTTACATTATATTGTTTCATTTTAGTTGTTTTTAATGATTAATAAATTAAGACAATTGTCATCACTCTACAATTACAATATATAGTATACATGTTTAAATTATAAATTGAAAAGTTCAATATATTGAATGCAAATTGTCATTTCTCTTTGATTTACATCATTAAATAATTTTATGACCAAAAATAAAATTGAACAATAAAATGAAAAAGTTTTCCACATCTTTGAATGGGGTGTAATGCTAACAAATTAGGAGTAGCGTGTTGTTTTTTTTATATTAAACGCTTGTTGTTTAAATTGAAGTAATATGTTTTTTTAAAAAAAACACTTGAAAAAAAAATAATTAAAAATATACCATTGCCTTTTAATATCCAAAAAAACTTTTATCAATTTAATCGAATACATTAAAAATATATTATTTAAAGAAAAATAAACGTAAAAAACACAAAAGCTATAATTTGGGTACACTAATTCCTTTTATAAAATTTCTTCATAAACAACTTATGGACTTTTCTTTTTATAATTCAACTTTTTCCTAAAATAATTAACTTATTTTTTTCTTTGACCTTTTTACATTATTTTTGTTTTTCATTTGAAATTATTTTAGATGCTTTGTTTCATTGAATGATTATTTTTTTTGCATTTTTGATGTCTTTTCATTTTTTAATTTAACATTTTTCATTTAAATTTTTTCCTTTTTATTCAAATTTTTCCAATTTTTTTGGAACCCCCCCCCCTCCGCCCATTTAATATAATCTGGCAAATAACCTCACAAAGAAAACCCTCAGAATAAAAGATTAAATATACTTAAACACTAAAATATGTACGTATGGAAATTTTTTGAGTTTAAATAAGCATCTGCTTAAAATAGATAGGGAATAAATTCTGAAGTGACACATAGGGTTCGTCTATATGAATTTACTACTATGGTTAAATTTTTATTTATAAATATAAAATATAAATGTATTTATGCGAAAATAATTTGATTTTGAGTCGGAGTTCTCCTAATAATCTAGGGCTGCAAATCTTATTTAATGAAACTAGGGATGAATTAAGAATTAATGTGGCATATTATGGCTATTTGATATGCTATATCTCTGTTGATAAAAATTATATTTTTCTAGAAAATATGTTGATATTATAATTTATGGCTACTTTGCTTGTTGTATACATAAATAAACTAGGCATGGGGTAATCCCCTGATGTAGGCTAGTTTGCCTATCTATATCCGATGATAAGGATTAGTTAAATTAATATTGGGAAATTTTTCTTTTGCTTAATTTCACCTAAATTAGGCATAAACTAAAAAGAACCTGATGGGTGAAATTATATAAGATGGATGGAATTAAATTAAAAATTATTAGGGGAGCGTGGGTAAAACGATTGGTAATTTGTATTTTTACTAGTGAAAAAATAATTATAACTAGTTATATTTGAAAAATTGCAACTACTAACTGTAACTAGTTATATTTTTTTTAGAATGCAAATACTAAATGTAACTAATTACTTTTTAAAATATTATATATATTATTAAAAATATATTAAAATAATTGATTTTATTTTTAATATATATCATAATAAATTAATTTTAAATTAAAATATCTGATTCTGTATGCGGGACTTTTTTATATAATAAATATTGATAAATGAATCAGACAAATACAGAATCATAGTCATACCTTGAATTTTGAAAGGGGATATCACTATTATGTGGTTTTTTGCATAAATTTTACTGGTAGGTCTAGGTTATATTTTTATAAAAATAATTTTGGCTTTCCACTTTTTTAAAAATTTTGAATTAAAGTCGTTATTTTAAAAAAATTATTAACTTTTACTTATTTTTATTGCAATTCTTGGGGGTGATAGTATTTAAGATGTAATTCTTATTAGCTTAAAATGTTATTTACGATAACAGACGAATTTTCGAAGAGGGGATTTCCCCTTGTCCCTCCATGGGTACGCTATGTACGGAATTTAATATAAATTCTGATTTCGACTATTCATTTAATGAGGATAATATTCAAATGATTCAGAAAAATAGAAATTGTACCATCCCTGATTTTTAAAAAGGGCATGATTAAGATTTTAGCCAAAATAATAGCTTGAAGATTTTGTTCATAGATAGAAGAAAGGTTTGGAGATCTATTTGTCAAATCTCGAATCTTACATAATATTATTTTGGCTCGACCCAAATCGTTCCGTTTAACAACCCTACTCCTATGTCTTTCAAAAAAAATATATTTTAGCATCTAAGTCATCCACAGCCAAGCTATGGGAACATATCTCTGTAAAATTATTTTCACATAATATGTCTTAAATAATTGTATACTAAATTTTAGTTAGATGAACATGTAACAAGATTTTTGTTTAGCTAAATATTAAATAGAATTATCAATTAAATTAAACTAACTTAATAATTAAATTACTTTGACAACCTTCTCAGGGAAAGATGATGTTCTCGTCATACATTACTTAGTAGCAGAGTTGTTAAAAGATACTTTTTAAATGGATCTAGATACAGATACATCGTTTAAAAATTTATCTATAGATACAGCTTCTAAAAAGTTATCTTGATACAGATACAATTTAAAATGTATCTAGGTACAGATACATTTTTTATTATACTCTTAGATAAGGTTTGAATAAACCTAAATTAGGATTCTATTGTGAAAATTCATGAAATGATCTAAAAAATTTATTAACTCGATATCACATTTATCAAAATGTAACTAAAATAATGATTTTTAAATATAATATATGATTAATATAAATTATTATTATATATCATTAATAAAATAATATAATATATGATTAAATGATTATAAATAATTATTAGATTTCAGTAACAAAATATTTTCAAAATTTTGGTCATTAAGACATCCTCGTTTATCTGTAAAGACATTTTTAGTTATATTAAAAAGTTTTTCAACAGGGAAGCTGGAACATTTTTATATCAGGATATTGTTTAAAAATACTAAAATCTCGGCATTCATTTTTAAAAAAACTATTTAAAATTTGTTGACTATAAGAATTTAAATCATTAACAATCACATCTCCTGCTGTGGGATACTGAAAAAAATCGGATATTAAATTATTGGTTTTTTTCACAGGTTTATGATTCTGATATTCCAAAATCCTGAGCAGTAGTATAAAGATCTGATATTGATATTGGTGCAACTGTTTCTTCATCTTCCAGATCATCAATGGATTCACTAATATTTTCAATTGGCTTGAAAACTCTATCATAAATAAGTAATATTATATTTATGTTTATATTTATAATAAAATAAACCTAAAAGACTTAATAAAGTTTTTGGCATTATTAGTAATGGTCTTTGAGATTTTATTTTGTATGCAATAATCCTTTGCTATATCTTGTAAATTTTTTGCTATTTTATCATATGTATGACTACCAGTCATTCTTTTACAAGCCAACGCTACATTTTTTCTTTCCAAACTTGTTGGATCTATATAGTGCGCAGTGACTCCTATGTATGAACTAAAAATTAACATTTCTTAAAACTGCTCAAATAATTTGTTCGTAATTAAATTATTATACAAATTTAAATGTTAGCTATACCGGCGATAGGCACTCCAACAATCTGCTGTTGTACATATTAGCGATGGTTCTTTCTATTAGACTTTTAATGATTTCTTTCTTTTCATTCTCCCATCTTTGGGAGATTTTAGCAACCACTGTCTGTTGGCAAATTATATTTTTTTGTGGAGCTAATGTTTTGATCATTTTTATAAATGAAGGATTTTCAACAATTGAAAATGGCTGAATGCTATCTATAATAAAATCAGTTATTAAATCATCTAGAGTGGTTTGGGTTAAAGTCTGAGGTCTCTTGGAGAAAAAAATCAATGGACGATGAGCCTGGTCCAATATTTTCTTTAAAAGATTTTTTCTCCTTCCCCTTTTTTTAGGGTTAAGAGTGTTTGATGTTTTCTCTTAATTTAAAATTGTAAACATTTATTTAGTATCTATACCCTTAAATGTTTAATGTTGCAAGTTGAAGTAATTAAACTGAAATTTGCATATTTTTTGGTAGACATGGCAAACATTTTACTTACAGAGATTAGTTATCTTTATTTTGAGATATTATTTTAAAATATGGTCTATAAATTGGCCATGGAAGAATGTCGTCATTTTCGTCATCAATATTAATCTTAAAAATTAATATAATAGAATAAAATAAAATAAAATAAAATAAAATAAAATAAAATAAAATAAAATAAAATAAAATAAAATAAAATAAAATAAAATAAAATAAAATAAAATAAAATAAAATAAAATAAAATAAAATAAAATAAAATAAAATAAAATAAAATAAAATAAAATAAAATAAAATAAAATAAAATAAAATAAAATAAAATAAATAAAATAAAATAAAATAAAATAAAATAAAATAAAATAAAATAAAATAAAATAAAATACCAATTCCATTGCAATTATAAATTCCTTGAGATGGATTGTAATATCAGAATTTGCTTGTTATTGATAACTCGGACATAATATTTAATTAATATTTATATATTCTTTTTTATATATAAGTTTTAAAATTTTACATATATATATAATTTTTTAATATACATATTAATATTAAGTTATATGCTCATATGAAATAAAATAAATTTTACATTCTATTTATAATATAAAAAAGCGTTAAATAGAAATATATCAAAAGTATCTAAAAACAGATACAGATACCTCTATCTAGATACAGATACTTTAATCAAAGCAGATACCACATTTTTATATCTAGATACTTTAACAACTCTGCTAAGTAGCAATATTAGATGCCAACAAAATCTTTTGTATAATTATATTTGTAAGAAAGCATATACCATTCAAAATGGGCCATCATCTTAACTAATTAAAAAGAAATTCAATTATTACTTCTTATTATTAAATATAATGTTGTCCTTACGCCAAGTGCTCCCGTAGAACGTTTTCTTACTCTAGGGAGACTTATTTTTGGAAGAGAAATAAGCACTTCCTTCAGACAGAAATTTTTAAATGCAAATAAAAATTTACAAAGCCCTAATTTTTATAGAAATAATCAGCGTATATATATATTATTATTCCCATCGTGATATATATTATACAAATCGTTATTGCATGATTTCCAGTAAGATATAAACTTCAGATAAATTATAATTTTAATGTACATATATACAAATTTAAATGCTAAATATATTTTGCTAAAAGCAAAATAAACTAGAGGATGATTTTCATAATTTAGGGGTAAAAATCGGTTTCTAGGCAAAATATGTCAAACCAAGGAATATTTTCAAAAGATAAATATAGGTAAGAAATTAGATTTAAAAATATATCTTCACCAAATTTAGGGTCTTTTCAAGGATTATGACTTTACCCCGGTCTCTCCTAATACATTTTTCGAAGCCCGGAATTAATTTAATAAATAAATTGTAATTCTTGTAATGATTTTGATATTAATATGTTTATACTATTTATATTTACCGTTGCAATAAAATTTATTGAGAGCCATGAGATCGTAAAAACTTGGTTCTATCGATGAACCTATAGTGGCTTGATAGTTTAAATCCTTGGTAATAAAAGTCGGGCCTTCAACTCTACTAGATTTGAATTCCTAAAGTTATTGTTTTTAGTGGTTTATAAATATATCGAATTATATTATATAATATTAACTAAGGTTCACATTATAAGAAAACTTTAAAATTGATTTTGGTTTAAAACATTTTTCTATTGAGTTTTTTTTAAGTATAGAAGACACCAATGTGCTGAATGCTTTGTATTTAATTATAAGAATGAGAACAAAGGGATATCATTATATCTCTAAGTTATTAAATTAAATTTCATACTTTTATATTTTAATAATAAATATTGAATATACTCCTTACATCAGGATAGAAATGCATTACAGATCCATACTCATAAGAAATATTAAAATCGTCGGCATTTATCGTCTCAGAGATTTCAGACCCATATATCGGATCTATCTATATATACAATACAAAATAAATAGAAAAAATAATTTATAAATTGAATTTTTTATGCATGGATTCCTGAAAATATTTCAACTTTTTTTAAAAATATTATTCCCGAATCCATTTGAGTAAATATAATTTATCAAATGATATCTTTTTTCTAATAAAGCCATTTATAATTGGACTTTTAGCTGGGTTAAATGATAAACCATTTTATTTGGAGTAAATTAAATATATATAATATTTATTAACTTTGTTTAGATCGATGATTATATAATCTTTCCTGTCCTCCCTATCCACTTCGTAAATAAATCCCAACGTTCTTCCGATTAACATTGTTATGGTACGAATCTAAGAATTATAATAGTTATTTTTTTTTAAATCGTTTATAAGAAAAAGAAAAAGTAAAGTTAGGAATATGTAATTTAAATAAATACGTTCAGACATCCAGGGTTAATATTTATAGTTTGACCACCACCTTGCCTTCCCAATTCAGCGGTACACCTAATAAATTAAAATTTTATAAAAATTGATTTTTAAATAAGATTTAGAGGTATAACAAGAATTTTGGTAAGGAGGGGAAAATACTATTGGGTGGATATTTTCTTCCTATATTGAAGGTTTTAGTCAGAGTTGTTAAAGTAACGCGCTACTTGTAGCGCGCTAACTTTTTTGTTATCTATAGCTAATAGCGGCTACTTTTTTGTAATTATCTAATTTTTTAGGGCTAAATTTTTTTGAAAGTAGTTAAGTAGCCGCTACTTCGCTACTTTTAAAAAATATAATGAAGGTAAGTATAAACATGAAAATTTAAATATAATATCATAATTAATTATAATTTTTATGATTTATTATTTAATTTTGAAATTGAAATATTATTTCAATTTGTAATTTATATTTTCATTTGTATTATAAACCTTAATCACGTGTTAATAATTTAAAATGTCATCGCCTATGGATATCCAAATCGTTGAAAGTGATTCAGACAATGATATTAATGAATTGGAAGATACCAGGGAAGAAAATGTTCTTAATAGCTTTAATATAAATTTCCCATTCACTAGATTTGAAAATTTTTTTAAATAAATATATAACCAAAACTGGTTTTAAATTTATTTGTTTAAAATGTAAAAAAAAAATATTTCCTCAAATCAATCCAATAGCTATAACCTCAAGAAACACCTAAAGGTAAATTGTCATTTATACATTCTAATAATATTTATTAAGACTGTTAATGAGTTTTAAGGAAATGTAGAAACATCTAAATAATTTTGGTATAGGCGACTCTACATCCAAAAAGACTAATTCAATTCAATTCAAACCAAATTAATTAATAATGTAAATGACAATATTTCTCAGAAATTGGCTGATAAAGTTATTGTTGATTTTATAATTTATACAGTTCAACCAATGTCCTTAGTTGATAATCCATCATTTACCATGATGATTAAAACTATCCCCTGGTACAACAATTTTATGCCGCCAGACACTAATGAATAAAATAGCAGATAACTTTAAAATGATGAAAGATGTTCTAATAGTAGAGTTATCAGAGATATCACATATATGTACCACGGGAGATAGTTGAACACATAACAGAAGGTAAAAACTTATTTATATTTATAAATTGATCTGATTAAATATTTTTGAGCTTATTTGGGAATCACAGGCCATTGGCTAGACCCTAGAACTTTAAAAAGAAGATCTGTGGCATTAGCTCTCAAAATGATAATAGGATGCCAGACATACGATGTACTTGCAAATAAAATTATTGATAATCTATCTTATATTAAAAATATGTATATAAGATTAAATACGCCCTTACCCTCAAGTGCTAGTGTCGAGAGATTATTTAATAAGGCAAAACTTATACTTTCTGATCGTCGCTCTAGACTTGGGGATGATAATATTGAAATGATTTTATTGTTAAAATGCAACGAATTACCATAAATATTTATTTTTATTACTTAAATTTTTTTATAATCAAAACTAACTATATTTTAATATTTATAAATGTTGATTTTTATATATTTACTATACAATAACTTTATAAGGAAAAAATAAAAAATTTGTTTGTAAATTTTTTTTAATAAAAAGTAGCTTAAAAAGTAGCTAATAGAGAGCTACTTTTTTGACAAATAGCGATAGCGGTAGCGTGCTACTTTTAAAAGTAGCGTTTAACAACTCTGGTTTTAGTCCCGTTTACTGGTCAGGTTCCCTTTTTTTTAAACTAAAATATTCAATTATTGTCATTATATAAAAAAATTATTAATTTATCCTCCTTTTTTCAATGCCTAAAAATAATAATAACAAAAACTTGCAAATTTGCCAGGGGAACGTATTCACGTCTCCTTTGACTTCTCCTATGATAAGAAAACATAGTTAGATTATTTAGTTACTTTATTATATTTATAATTCCATTAATATTATTTGTAAAATTATTTATAAAAACAATGTTATTTTTGTTATCGGGTTCAGTGGTTCAATAGGCATCGTCCCTATTGCCTATGAGAAAGCTTAATATAAAAGAAGAACCAAAATATATACTATTCGTTTTTATATTTCAAGTAGAATAAGGTAGGCTATTATTAGTTAGGATAGGTGGCTATTAAATTATATACATAGCAATTTTTTTTAAAGCTCATATTAATTTGATACAAAAAATATTCTATGAATTTTTAAACATAAAATTTTATTATATCCACTCATTAATATTCGATAATAAGTATAGTAGTGTTGTTAAACGGCTCGTTTTGAGCCGATTTTTAAAAACGACTTACTCAAAATTTTAGCCAGAAAAATAATGCCTAAACCCTTAGATTTCGATAATACATGTATAGACCTTTGTTCCTTCAATGAGCAAAATCTTCAGGCTTGCGTAATATTTTTCTGGATGAAGTATTGAGTTAGCCGTTTTTAAAAATCGGCTCAAAACGAGCCATTTAACAACACTAAAGTATAGGGGTCAGGCACTTCTACACCCGTTAAGTCAATGATGATAACCCTCCTCTAAAAAAACTTTGCTCTTCCACCCCACCCCTCCAAATATTTTTTACTGCCATACCCCACTTTAAGAACAAATGACAAAAAGAAAGAAGATCTAAATATATAAAAAACAGTAAATTTAAAATTAGCAGAGAAAAAGGAAATCCAAATTAAGCTGCAAACCATTGTTCTAAAAAAGGAGCCCTAGTTCGGGTTCAATAAAAAATCGAACCAGGTTTGGATTCAGGTTTCGAAGTCAAAGAAAAATAAGAACTTATAAAATTTAATTATTTAATTATAGTAAACAGAAACATCAGTTTTTTAAAAATATATTTTATTTTATTATATTTTTACCATAAAAATAAGTTCAAAGTGTTCAGGTTCAGGATTTTTTCAGTGATGATCTTTGTCATACTCTCACCATGGGGAGTTGCGGAGTTAATTAATTATCTATACACTTTGATATTATTTATTTAATATAATTTAACCCAATAAAGCTTATTTTGTCTCTTTATACAACTACATACTCATTTCACAAATTAGCAATGGGGCATATTATCATTCAAATTTTCAAAAAATTTTTTCAATATATTAGGCTGCGTCCAAATTCATAAAAATATAAAAAAATAAATTTTGAAGAAAAAATAACATAAGCTATTTTTAATGTAAAAATAAAATGTTTGTCCAATTTCATTTTCCGGTATTTATAAAAATTTATTCAAAATTTATTTATTTGTGAAATTTATAAAAAAAAAATAGTAGGTACAATTTTTAATGCTGTTAATTTTTATAAATTTACTAACCCAAACGATTATAGCCTTTTATATTAATATATTTTTTAATGTCAAAATATAATTTTATGGAAAACATAAGAGTGTACAGGAACCTCTGGTGCAAAAATGAGTTAAAATTCAGAGATTCTGTAGAAAATAGGAAAATTTGGGAGGAAATAATAGGAAAAACATAACTTGAATTATGATCTAATGAAAAAGAAATTTTTAGCTGTAAAGGCTAAATTTAATAGATTATATTCTTTCACCCAACAAAATCTGGTAAAAATAAAAATTATATTATAATTTAATTTAAAAGGTATATATTAAACAATATATATGGTTAAAAGAAAATATTGATGATATTACCAAATATATTTTATTAGGCTGCATCATACTTTAATGAAATTGCTAACCCACTTAATGATATAAATATTAGGCAAAAAATGTCTATTGATTCTTTTCATGATACTATAATATATATACATGATATTACTATTAATTGAAATTTATTATTGAATAATAGCTAGATCAAGATAATCCCAACAAAGAAAATGAAAACCCTAGAGTTATTAATAAAAATATTTCTATTCCTACTTTTAAAAGATATTATATTATTTCTATTACAATTTTATTACATAACTCAAATATAATAATTTATATATATTTTATGGAAAAATTATCTTTCAAAATAAAAGTTACAGCCCCCCCCCCCAGCCAAAAAATGCAGATGCCGGATTTTAAAAATATTAATGTTTATATTAATTTATATTTGTTAATATTTATTCCTATCTCATGTTAAATTACATTTATTTATCACATTCATCTATTAAGTTATTTTATCAATTAATTTCGATCAAGTTTTCATTGGCGTAATATTTACCTATTATTTCAAATTTTTAGTGGCGTAATATTTATCTACCATTTTCATACTTCTACTCAAATAATAATTTTTCTGAAACTCCTTGTCCAACAGGGAGAAGAAGTTGCAAGCTTTTCCATCTAACGAGCGTCTTCGCCATCAAGCAGTAATAGCTTTTATGGAGTTATAAGAGCCGATTATTTGCTATTACTGAAATATCACAATGGCCTGAAAGAAATATTACCTCAGAAGCAAGAAAATTATTGGATTCAATGCTTAAATTTTTTTCCTCGTTAGAATGTATTATTTAATTATACAACTATATGTAATAATTTTCAAAAACATGGCATTGATTTGATTAAGAATATGAAAATAGCGGAGAGTATTTTATTATAACTCAAGGAATAGGGCTAATGATGAAGAATTTCAATTTTATGTTATTGTTGAGTCAAAAGGAGAGCTATACGTGTTTAATTTGTCTCCCTCGACTTGCAGCAAGGCAAGCTCATCGTCAAAACATTAGTATAAGATCAGTAGAAAAGTATTATAAAACTATAATCCAAATAAATGAATGGTTTTTAATTCATCATGCAGCACTTACCAATCTGCAGATATTACTTCCACTAGTGCTATTAATAGACTGTGTCGAGTCGACTTAGTCGAAAACTGAGCCAAGTTTTGGGTCAAAAATATCGACCCAAATTGACTTGAGTTATGAACAACTCGGGTCATGAACTCAAGTCGACTCGAGTTATGAATTCGGGTCAGGAACTCAAGTCGACTCAAGTTATGAACTTGAGTCGTCAAATTGAGTCGACTAGAGGATAAATATTTCAGATTTATTATTATTAATTAAGATATTTGTTCTGTTTTTTACATTTTTTTACTTTAGACTTCTAACTTGAGTCGTGAATAAGAATTATATAATTGATTCGACTAGAGGACGAATAGTTCTATGAAATTGAGTCGACTTCCACAAAAGCCTTCCCAATCTTTTTCAGATGTTGGTAGAAAAAAATTATTTGTTTGATGCCTTATTAGCTGAATAACTATGTTTAAAAGATTAACTAAGATATAGTCCCAAAAAATGCTATGGATGCTTTGTATAATTTCAAACACATTTTAGATTATATTCCGAATATATTAAAATGATTATATATATATATATATATTAGCAACTCTTCCCATTAGTAAACTAATGAGAGAACATTCTCTTTTTTAAGAAGAATAACCTGCAAAAATACCATTTGCAGGGCACGGGCCGGATTTTTTTAAATAAAATTTTCAGGGACGGCCCGGATATTTTAAAATAAATTATATTTATTTTTGATTTTTATAGCTAATTTCAAATATTTGGTTTTAAAATATATAGCCGGGCCCACATAATTTTTTTAAAAAAAATGCAGGCCGCGCCCAGGTGTTTTTTTTTTAAATTTCGGGCCCGGCCCGGGTATATTTAAAAATTCAAATACGGTCGGGAACCGGAACTGCAGTTCTCTGAAAAGCACACCTAAAAGAAGTACAACTTCTAAAAGTGGATTGAATGGTTTTGATTTTTTAAATATTTATAGGCATTTGATGCCAAGCAAGGATGAGTAATTGAAAAATTATCTCAATCCCAACGAAGATTGGATTTTACATTGTAAATATAATACAAAATAAAATTATTCCTAAGAAACTTTTTGTGTATTGATATTTATATTTCCAACATTTAAATTTTTTATACTTTATATATATTTTAAAGGTTCAAAAAATTCAAATTTCTATTTTGGGTCATTTAAGTGATTCATATGATGGTATTTTTTAATTCACATTTATTTATAAGTTTTTTATGTGCCGGTTTATATATATAATTTTTTTATAATTCATATAATTTAAAATTGTGTATCAGAAATAGTTATTAGTCCTAATAAATTTATGCTTGATACTTTTAAATAACAATAATATTTCTCAAAAAAATTTATTACCCCCCCCCCCCCCCCAGACCAAATTCCTGCGTACGCGCCTGAAAAGTTATTATTGGTTTTCCAACTGTTTTAAACATTGATACAATTATTTACAATATAGATGTATTTATTAAATATATAAATAAAATTATGATATAACCATTTTCAAATAATAGGTTTATACAAAGTTTAATAACTGAAAGGTAATATAAAATAATAAATACAATTAAATATTTCTTTAAATAATTAATAATTGAATCATATCTAGCATTTTGAATATTTTAATTTTTTTAAAACTTAAATGTGTCCAAAGTGATTTTTTTAAATTTGATTTTTAAATTTAAGGATTTTTTCAAAATATTTTGGACGCAGCCTTAGATAAATAAATAAAAGAAATTTAAAATTTCACCTTGTTTTATTTGCGACGGAATCGAATAATATATAATCGATATCTTCGGGCTTCATCACATTTTTAAAGCTTATACAACTCTTTTTTGACCAATTGTCAAGTGCCTCCTCTATTAATTGGGTAGCATTGGTTACTTTAATCAAAAAATAATTTAAAAAATGGATAAATTTCCATACTATGTTATATAAATTTTGTTTTAAATTTGTTGGTGATAACATGTCTCGAGGCCCCCTTATTAGGATTTAAATGTTCTAGACTTAATATTTTGTGTTAAAATTAAAATCACATTAATTAGACCTAGTTGATAAAATAGTGAAATATCATTATAAGAAGGAAAAAATAACCACTTAAGTATTTTGTAGTATAATACTAGAAAAACGCATTGAAAAGGCAGTCAATATTTTAGAATAAGGATCCGTTTTCAAAGTAGCATGTATAATATTTATTTAAATATTCTACTATTTTATAAATTTTGAATTAGCTCGAAATTAATAAGTTTTTCTTTATTTTAATAAAAGTTATTTAAATCCTAAAAGGGAATTACAAGTGTTTCTTCGAGAACACACATGGCATTCTTTTTTTCTTTTTTTTAGATTTATAATTATTAATATAATTTTTTTTTAGTAGATGTTTCATAATTAAATTAACATTATATTTATGATATTTTTTTATATACTTGAGATTTATATAATATATTTTTTTTCATTTCATAATATTATTTATTACTAAAAATTTTATCAATTTTGTCAAATTTCGAAAATTTTTGCATTATAACATGATAATTTTAATTTATAATATTATATTATATTTTAAAGAATTTTAATGTTAACCTTTTAAATAGGTAAATTATACAATTCTAGCTGATCCTTTTTTCATTTTTATAATTCTGAATAACGTCTAAAAGGAAAGTGATTCTTAGATTAAATAAATATACGGTGTGTTATCTATTTATTTTATGTAAAAATCTCTAATATTAAAAAAAGGGGATAACTGCTTTTCTGAATGGTTTTATTAATTCAGAATTAAGGAAGCCTAAAGCCATTACGTTTGTTGATTTGAGTTGAATAGGAGTAAATAATTGAAGGAGATTCCCATTTTCTATCGTCATCTAAACCTCGAAATATTGATCTCTTATGTTTAATCGATTTGGTACCTACCTAGTTCAAGCGATAAATAAAAAATATATAAAACCAACAGTCATGATAACATAACTGTGTCAATTTATAGTCCAGTCATTTTCAATTAAAACTTAGCAATTCACATTAGTGATTAAGGCCCCCGCACCCTTATTTTTTTTTAAATAATTTCGGTTCGGGCTGGATCGTGCCTAATATTTTTTAAAAAAATTTCGGACCGGAGCTTAAATTTTTAAATATGATATACAATAAATTGATATATTTTAATTCTTGTAAGAAACAAAATGTTAATATTTTTTATTTGTAGAATATTTTTTTTACAACAAAAAAAATTAAATGTTTCTCTATTTAAATAAATTCTGGCAGGGGGTTGACAATTAATTTTTATTTTGGGTATAGCTTTTGGGATAAAAATAAAACTTTGTTCGTGATCGAATCGGTCCATGCTTGAAAAATTAGGCACACAGCAAATCACTATTTCACATCTCTTTTTAATAAAAAACATTATAAAGAACAAATGCCTGCAGGATCGGTCAGGGAACCCTGAAGAGTATATTCAAAAAATCCAGATCCAACTTAAGAATAAAGAAAAATGTAAAACCCGGCTGGGCCTAATTATTATTTTTATAACCTGGGTCTGGTCTATTTCATTAAAAAAAGAAATCATAGAAAGTAACAAGTTTAAAAATATTATAATGAATCGTTTAACATTTCATTTTACTGCTCGTATTTGCAATTTCTCTTTGAAACAATTCACAAAATACAGCCAAAATTATTTAATTGCATTTTAAATCAATGATGGGAAATGAATCAAAATTTGAAAAAATTATGCCGAACTTGAAAATCGAAAATTTTTGACCTCGACATGACATCTTCATTTAAATGTTGCCACTCTAACAAGAGAGAAGTAAGACAAAAATTATTCTACTGCTTGCTCCACAAAAGAGTAATAAAATGATCATAATTTTTTTTTACTTGAATCAGATATACAATTTCTAGCAGAATAAAGAATATTTGATTACTCTTCATATTTGATAATAGCAATTAGGATATTTTAGTTTTCCAAAATGGTAATATTTGATATTAAAATTAAATTTTATAAATGATTTGGTAAAACCTAGAATTTTATTTAAGATTAAAAATTATAGTTTTTTTTTATATCAACAAAGAATTTGACCCTTCAATTAACAAAGTCATTATTCCATATTTATTTATTTATTTTACAAATTTGGCGCTTATAAAATAATAATAAAAAATTGGATTGTTTACACATTAAATCCTACTTTCCTATGCAACTATAAAGGCCTATTTTTATATATTTATTTAAAGCCTCACAATTACAACCTATTTATTATGATGGATAATTAAAGTATAATGAACTTAATCCACCTATCGGGTTTACATAGCTCTTCAAAGCTCGGTGGTTGTAAATTATTTAGAAAAACCAACTTTAAATTTAGCCAGGCCCAAAAATAATTTTTTTTAAAAAAAAAACCTCCCTAGGCCGATTAAAAAAAAATAAACCTAAATAATTATATCTTATTATCTGTTGGAAAATCATATAAAGGATCGTTTAATATTCATTTACAGCTTCCTTTCGAAATAATTTGCAAAAATTATTCAAAATAAATAAAATTTAAAAATTCTTGGAAGAAAAAAATTTCCAGAAAAAAAATTTAGCCCAGATTTGAAATTTTTTAAAGTTTAAAAATAAGTCTACTAAATCAATAAAATGGTTTAATATTTGTTATTTAATGTATCTAAAACAACTACCTGGAAATTATTTTATTTCTTAAATATGAGAAAATTTCAGCTAAGCAATTTAACAATCCAGTATTAAGTCATGCTGTAATAGAGGAGTATAGAATCTGCACATGTCAATTTTTTTAAATAATGGGAGCATATTTAAAAAATTAAATTTCAATTTGAATATTTAATAATAAATTGCTGGATTTTATATAACCTGAACTAAATATAGATGAATTTAATTATTACTATTAGGCTGCAAATATATTTTTAATAAGTGCTACGCTGTAATAACTGATCAAGTTTTAAAAAAATTTTGTATAAGATAAACTTTTCTTTATTCTTCTTATTGGTCTTGGTTGAAATTAAAGATAAAATTAATATTATATTTTTCTTCTCCAAACCTTTCGTATTAATATTATGAATAGGTCTATACATTTCGCACTTAATGTCGCACTCCCATATATTCATATCACGTTCCCTACCTTCTGATTAGAAGCGTCACATATTACTTGATATAGAATATTAATTCACCCCCCCCCCTACTCCCCAAACCTTTCGAATTAATATTATGAAGAGGCCTATATATTTTGCACGTTTTTAATGTCCCATATATCCATATTCCTTACTCCCATCCTTCTCTTTATAAGCATTACATATTACTTGACATAGGTAACTTATTATAATTTCATCTTCATATGGATTATTGATACACTTTATTCCCCTAATCTCATGAGCGAATACTAAGAAAAGGACAGATTTATTCATTTCACTCTTATTGCCCTATAAACCTATGTTCCCTGTTCCCCACCTTTACATTATTCTGTACTTAAAAAAACAATTAACAATTTTGAAATTCGTCAAAATTGGTTGTATCTATTTCTACTCTCAACTTATCCATATCCGCGACGTCTAACTATTTTATTCATAAGTAAAGTGCGCCCAAAATGACAGTTTAATTGGTATTCACTCTTCCTCCCCACCCTCACCCTCCTTCCACAAGTACAACAGTATGTCTAAGAACAGTTTAATTGGTATCTACTACGCTCTCTAACGAGTTCACAACTTGTCCAAAGCCAAAAACTGATATAAATTCGTTAGAATAACCGTTATATATATATTTTTTTTAATTTACAAACCCCCTTAATTATATTTGTTTTCTTGTTTTTTAATAATACTTTTTATACTTCATGCATTATTAATTTTTTCCAATATTTGTCTTATTTTACTTCTTTTTTTTTAAAAAAAAAGAAACTAAATCATATGTTTTTGTTTATCTTATTTGTCACCCTTAGCTATATTTTTCTCCTTTCTAAAATTTTAATTATTTCCTCCTTTATTCCATTACCATTGTTAATATCTTTTTGTTTTTTCCCCATCCGAAGTTGTATCATAGTAAACGCTTGTTGCCACGTGTGTTTAAAAGTATTTTCACTTAATTTAAATGACGCATTTAGGAAACATTCTGAAAATTCCCCTTCCCTTCTCTTCCAGATCATCTTATTAAATCCCCTCACTAGCGTGACCCCAGTCATGATGGTAGTTCTTCAAGTAATTTATTTCTTATACATAAGCCCTCAGTTCTATCTAGGTCCCTATAGCAGCCCGAGAATCGATTTCAAAGTTACTCACGTGTCTTATAGATAATTTGAATTTAGATTTCTCTTCAACACCCTTATGGTTAGATCTGATTAGTTTTTAATTTCAAGTTCTAGTTAAACCCAAAAATAAAATAAATAATTTATCAGCCTCAATTAAGAAGAAAGTGTCCAATTTTGATAATACCATTATTGATGAATTTACTCCATCTAACTCTTTAAATCCTGATTCTTTTCGCAGCAAATTGATCTCAAAAGTTAGCCTTGGAGATATTAGCGTTGCCGCCAATTTAGACTTTTGATATTATTTCTCCTATCAACCTATTATTTTTCAACAACTTCTCAAAAAACATTCATTGGCATCCCCTTCTAACATTCACCCTCCTATTCCCTTTACCTGTGAAGTAGTTCTTAAGCACTTGAAGTCCTTAAAAGGGACGACAGGGGGTTTATAGACGGGTTCAGATTAGGTTTTTTTGCTGATTTAATCCAATGCTTTGATAATGGTTTTAATTACTAAAATTATTAATCGAACTTTGTAATAATAATATCCTCATACGCGAAGTTCCCCTTTGTATACGCCCTATTCTTTTTGGTGCACATCTTGTTTTTTTAACCAAACTTGATGGTGGTATTAGACCCATAGCCATTGGGTCATTTTTTCCTCGATCAGTGTCCAAAGTCATAGTAAACAGGATCCGTTCTAAAGAACAGTTCCCTACTATTTCCCTCACAGTTATGTTTTGGAGTTAAAGGTAGGTGCGAAGTCTCACATGTAGCCTGTTTTTTACAAACATTGAGGCGGATAAGATTCTCTGCAGTTAGACTTCAGAAATGTTTTCAACAGCAATCATAGGAGTTCGTTTTTACCCTCTTTTCCACAACATTTTCTAAAATATTGGAATTTCCTTAATTCCTGCTATGGATTTCCCTTGTTTCAAATTCGGGAAATTTTTCATATCATATGAAGGGGATTCAACAAGGCGATCCTCTAGGTCCCTTGATTTTTCTATAGGTATTCAGGATTTGATCAAAAATTTAAAGCCTGATTTCAAATTAGACCTAAATTTAGATATCTCGAGGATGACTCTTTTGGCAGATCTTTACCTAATGTTAAGTCGGTCATTGAGTACGTTGAAATGGAAGGTTCGAAAATTGGTTTTTCCTTAAATAGAAAAAAATGCGAGATATCTTCCTTTAACAATAAGAATATTACCCACCCCGACTTTAAAATCATTCCGCACGAGTAACTGTCTTTTAGATTCTCCTATCGGTTTTAAAACTTCCTTTTGTCAAAATTTTTTCGACAATTTGATTCAATCTCTTTTTAATTCGCTAAGGAATTTATCTTCCCAAGCATCAGTTTTTTTCCTTAACACCAAAAAATATTTTTTCTTACCTCAATTCTTGCACATCTTTAAATCTTCCCCGGCTTTTCAATATATTTCCCTCCTTAAGTCATTTGAATTTAAACATCATCGAATCCCTTTTAATCCTAAAGTTTTCTGATTTTAATTAGTCATTTGCCTCTTTGTCTGCTTACCAAGGTGGACTTATTTCACCCACCCCACTCCCCTCCCAATTTAATGGCAATTGCTTGTATTCCTTCTTCGCGGATATCTTTTAACGACTCTATTTCCTCACTTATCGAGTTAAACGATCCACTTTTAGCTTCGACCAAACAATCTAGGCTTACTGGTCCGATAACCCTGTTTCCAGCCATTTAAAGAACTTCCTAGTTCCTATATTTCAATGTGCATTTGAAAATCCTTGTTTGTGTCCTGATCTAACTATTCAACTACTCAGAAACGCAAAAAGAAATCCTAACAGCCATGAATGGCTAGACGCGATCCTGTGTAGGAAAAAATAAATGGTTGATCGCCAAATCTTAGATTTTGGCCAGTTTCCAAAATAATTTGGAGCTGTTAGGTCTTTAAATGAGAATGGTAAGCATCCCGATGACATGCCTTTAACATTTTGGCTCGGCTAAAGACTGGTTATCTCATTTCCCGCTAATAGAAATTCTGACCTCTTGAAATTTCAAGAAATTAAAAAATGCAATAAATATAGGTCCCTCTTAAATTCTGTTATTTTTATTCCTCTAATCGTTAATGTTTTGGGGAACTTCGGTTTCTAATCCATTAAAAAATTTTAATCAATTAGTTAAGAAAATTTTAATAAGAAGTGGAGATAAAACGAGTCCCTTTTCCTCAAACAAAAAACTCATTGAAATCTTAAGAGGGAATTAGAAGTGTTTCTTCCTTATCCCTCTTAGTTCCTTTACACATGGCAAAATCTGCAATTAACTTTATATTTTTTTTTATGTAAAACTTTTGAACAATGTTTAGTATTATATTATGTTTTATGATTTATATGATGAAGATAAAAAGATTTTTTTAATATTCTTATTATTAAAAACAAATTATATTTTTAAAATAATTATATTTATAAGTTATAAAATTATAAAGAAAATATCATTAAAAACTTTTATAAACTTCGATCAGCTACTACATCGCATCATATCCCGTCATACTAATTGCAGATTTAGTCTATCTGACATAACGACGGTTAGATTATGTTTTTTCTCTTATTATATTAGTAAATAAAATATGGGCTAAGACCTATTGCCTGCTTTAAGGTTAGTAGGGCCTGGCGAAGGCAAAAAAAATTCGGTTGGGCCGGAGCAAAATATTTTTAGGAGATGGGCCTTTCATAAAATTTTTTAAGCTAGAATACACATTTTTGCCTTTTTTTCTTCATAAAAAAGAATATGGGCTGAACCAAGGAACTCTTTTTAAAAAATTACTATATACCGGTTTGGCCAAGCCATTTTAGTTTCCAAGAGGGAAGTTAATATTAGGTGGTATTATACTCCCTTTTCCAAATTTGTTAAAGGAGTAATTTTAATTGGTGTATTTTCTTCTTTTGGTATAGTATATTTCTATTCAGAAGCATTTTTATGCATCATGCCTTTTTTGTCTATTGCCTTTGTATCTAATCTATGCTATTTTGACCGTGTCTCTTAATTCGGGAAGTTTTTATCCTAATTTTTATAAATAAATTTTGTTAACAAATAATAATATTTCATTAAATGGTACAAATTAGATATATTATTTTATTATGAATTTAGAAAAATATTATTCAGAAATAATTCATTTTATTTAACTTATTCTTGCTTTATATCTTAATTTTTTTTAATATTTTTTTTGCTAATTCTTAGTTGAGTGATATTATTTTTAAATAGTAATGATCTTCTTAAAAAAAATAAACCTAAGAACAAATTGAACACTCTGGTTCAATAAATTATACTTCAATATACAAATGATATATTATATCAAACGAAAAAGAATCCACACATTTATAAATCTATCATCATTGAGTAGGTAGAAGGGTGGGGAGGGAGGAATTAGCCCTCATCCATTAACAAATTTTTTAGTGGGAAAAGTGGGCCCGAATACCAAGGTAATATGGGAGCATCCCCCCAGAAATTACCCGTTTGGGAAGAGATTAATGCCTATTAAGTGGCCAATGTTGTTACATAATGAATCTTAAATTTTATTTATCCGCAACACTTAAATGATTAAGAGTTGACCCATAATAGTCATCTGATCGTTTTCGATTTTATCCTTAAAGTTTTATAGCAATGGACAACTTAAAAAAATGATAATTGGTGAGAATATAACTTTTTTACAAACGAAAATGAAGTCTTTAAATGAGTATACTCTAAAGATTTCTAACTACTAGGAAAAATAAATTATTCATGTTCGTAAACCTCAAAAAAGTTATATTTCATTATAATATACCTTTAAAATAAAGGCCCTTAAATTTGATATTTATATTTTCAATTATTTCACAATGGAATTTCATTAATATGCAGGGTTTCTAAAATTCCCATAATGGGTTGGCGACTTTCATACACGTTTAAAAAATGTAAAATCTTCCTCGACTAATCTGGCGAATTCTTAAAAGAAAATATTGCATAAATCTCATAAATTATTTTTATGCTGCTATCGGGATGTTATCGAGCCCAAACTACCAGTTTTCTTAGTAGGTGTTCTTCTCTTGAATAATTACTCAGTAGCTTTTATTTCGGAATATTGATGAAAATATTTTAAAAATATTTTACCTTTTAAAATTTATTATAAACTTTTTTTTATATTCAATTTTATTCCTAATATTATTATAATGCTACTGGCGGCAAAGGGACACAATTCTACTTTGATCTTTTATTTTTATTAAATTTTTATTTATTTATTAATTATAATCTAATATTTATTATAATATTATGATATTTTAGTATTTGTATTTGTATTATTATCATAAAAAAAATTCAATTTTAACGAAATATAAAAGTATAATATCAATAATATTAATTTTACTATTACACTTTGTTTTATCATACCTTTGTATACCGCCTTTTATTGATTCGGTCATATAATTTTTTGTAAGAGGCTTAATTGCTATTCACATGCTTAAATTATTACAAATTATAATATTTTAAAATCTTTAAAAAATTGGACGTAAACAATGGAATGGATTTCGCATCGACAAATATAGACTTAATTAAATAAAGGGACACCAGGGAAAAATATATCCCATTTTTAACGTAATATTTTCCTTAAGTAAAATGATAATAAAAAAATAAACTTGAGTATTTTCGCCCAATTTTATTTTCCATCTTATTAATTTTCTTTATGTCCAGTATATATTTTTTTTATCGGCGAAGCTGCCTAATCCAAATCAAATTTTTTATATTAGCCCTCTCAAAATAAACAAATACAATTTTCTGTGTCAAATAAAATGGTAATATATTAGGAAGATGATGGGATATGCAAACCACTTTTTATAATCGTCTGTAACTTTCGTGTATTTTATGGGAAGTATACTATCTCTTAAGAGATACCTATATACTATAAGTGGTACGTTTTTATATTTTGCAAATATGTTAATTTTGCCCAACAGTGGGATTAATCAAATCACCTTATGGGGCCTCCTATACCAATATTCCTGCCTTATATTGGACAAATATATCATTCTTAATTCTTAAAATTATTACAATAACATTTTTCCAGAAAATTTATAAAAGAACATAATTTTGACAATTGACATATAATATTTTTTTTGCTCTTTTTAATATTTCATGAAACATGCGCCAGCTTCAAAGGGGGTCATTTTCCCCTAAAGGACCATCGTTTAATCGAAGCATGCAATTTTTATATCAGCATTACATCTTACCCTGATAACCAATAATTAAACAATGATAATATTAACAATAATAGCATGTAAATGAAGGCATTAAAATTAAATGACCAAATAGATGGCACAATATATAATATATGTTCAAGAGTATTTCCGTGGCTAATAAAAATCCGTTTAGTAATGTTTGAAAATGAGATGGAAAACATTATCTAACACTTTCAAACCTGGACAAAATTTAAAACAATTGAATTCTTTCATCAAAGGGTCTACTTAGAATTTAGCATTAATTTTTAGAAATGAGATAGAATCCCATTTATTAGTAAATTATAATGATATCGCTGTGGTTATTTCATGAAAGAAGATTCAATCCTTTAATAATGATATCTAGAAAAGCTGGAGCGAGAAACATCTAGTTTCATATTTTAGAATACGATAAAAAGAAAGTTTTTTATAATAATAATCTTATATATATATATTTTTTTACATT